TTTTTTTATATTTTTTCATAGATATATTTATTGTGGTTTAATTATTTTATTTGCTCTATTTATTATCCTTTTAACTTCACATTTACCTTTTTATTGCTTTTATTTATTTGCTGGGCCCGCTACCCTTTGTTAAATTTACTTGCAGCAGGTCCCTCTCTTCGCTCTGCCCGGTGCTCTGCCTGGGAATCGAACCCTGATCCCCGGTGGGAAGGACCACTGCTCTCTCCATTTCACCACCCATCCTGTCTGATCAGTAGGCCAGTGCACACTATTTTACTTCAAACCCATAACCTCAACCCAAACCCCAACCCTAACCCAGCCAGTGCCACTGATCAACAAATCTTCACCTCCATCCACCACCTACCACTGGACACCCAAAAGAACAACCAACAGAACCACTACCTCCACACCCCAGGACCACCATCCCTCAAAAGAAGACCCCCCCACATTTCCATCCGGCTCCACCAACAATAAACTTTCATCAGACTGCCTCGACCTGGAGTTGAACCACTGCCGCCCGTGCGCCGACCCTGGCCCAGTCAGGTGAGCTACACACCCAGACACCTCACATACAAATTAACTCCAACCGGACACCCAACCCTCCTTCAACCAGAGCAAATTCCCTCCAAAACCGACCAACCAGAGTCTAACACACGTTTTCCCTCCAAAACACCTCACACACCCACAGCCTTTAGCCAATCAACACATGACACACACACACACACACACACACTTCCTGTTGGGGGAGGGGCTAACCTCCCTCCCTCAACAGTTTTTAAAGCACACGAGGAGCCATTATTGTAAATCCCCTGAGGAAGCAGCACACCTGCCAAACGTCGGGACCCCGCTCTTCTGCGTAAGACTTTTACTCTGTTTTTATTGTTTGCATTAAGAACTTTTATACCCTCAACTTGAGTGGTTTTTAATTGGTTTTAATTGGTGTTTTTTAATCAAATTATTTAATAAAGTTGTTTTTAAAGCACTGGTGGAGGGCTCTGCCAGCCCAACAACAGGCAAAAAGACTCTTTTCATCTGCTTTTTAACTGTCAACCTACAAGTCCATCAGGACCACCACCCGGAATCTAAACAATAACTCACCATCTACAAGCACCATCCTCAACCACCACCAACACAGGACTGCCAGCAACAAGCACCTGTTTCAACCCCGGATTAAAGCACTACAACAACCACCACCCCGGAGATTCACTCACATCAAGACCACCTACAGCAGCAAAAAGGTAAGAGCTCTCCACCTGCATGTTTAACATTTTTAGAGCAAAGTCAACACATAGGAGCGGGGCACATAATGGCTCCTCTACACACACACACACACACACACATACACCCACATCCACTCACACACCCAGGCCCCTTATGGATATTAACATACAACAACCCACACATAGATTTCTTAACAACACTCAACAACCCACACTCAATCACCCACCAGATCCAGAAACCAGACAGGCCAGCAAACACTACTTCAAACTCATTCAGGCATTTCACCACAAACAGATCATGGACACTGCACTACAACTAGGAACATTCCCACCAGGAATGTTAAGACAGGTTACCCGGCTCACAGATTTTATCAAACCATCCACACCCACCACAGATACAAGAAACAGGATACATAACAACACAACATTATGGATGCACAATACAATAGCGATTCTCCAACAACATTACCAGACTACAATAGCAAACCATACGGACATGACCCCTCATAACCCATTAGCCCTACAAATAGCCACCGGCTGGGCCAGAAAAAGATATGGCAACAGACTATCCACGGAAACCCTGCATTCAATTCAAGAACTTTTACAACCACCCCAGACAATCACTACAGCCCCACAACCAGACCACCAGCAGCAGCAGACTACAATCAACAATCTACCCACTATCCCAGAAGAACACTATCCTCCCCTGCCCAAACCTGCAGCCCCAAATACACTGTCCCTTTACCTAGGCCCCCGCAAGTCACTCATCGAGGAAATAAAACCATCCCATTCCCCACGCACACCGACGCAAGAAGCAGAACCCCATCAAACCTCCACTGGCACCCAGACTACACCCCAACAGACCACTAACCCCAAGACCACCGCTGTCCCCTCACCCTACCCGATCTACAAGAAATCCACCTCCACCACGCCACTCAACCCCCAACCCAGAAGAGGACCAATCCGACCCCCACCACCAGTCAAGAAACATCCTGAAAAGACAATAAAACAACCCGCTGACCCAACATCGGACCCAACCACATCCACCCCAAAAGAACACAGGACCCGCAAAGTCACCTGGGGACCCCTACCGACCAAAGAAGAACAGCAACCACCCACTCCCCGCACACCTCTCTCCCCTATCCTACCCCTCACCCCCCCAGCCACCAAGTTCTTCAAGCCCACAAACATCATCGAAGCAACAGCCCAAGTCCACGGTTCCCCCCGCCAACCCCAAAACCCGGAAGAGTTACAAACTCTCACCCTCAGTACCCATTCCAATGTTTCGGTTCACATCACTGACTCCATTCTCACCTCCTCTCCCCATACAGATGGTGCAGCCGCCCGGGTGGGTCCAACAGGACAGACAGCAACCCAAGCAGAAAAAAGACCTATTCCGGTTAGAGAATCGGCTAACATGATGAAAGGGTCGAATAAGGTTACCCATAACCTCAACACAACCCACTCTGAGCCCTCTCCTACAAACTCTGCGAGGGTTGCACTGTCCGACATGGGCCCCCCGAGGGCTGCCCCATCCCCACCCCCACACACCCCCAAGAATCCCCTCATCATGGACCACCCCTCTCCACCCCAACAGCCTTCACCTCCTGCATCTACTTCATCGCCCCTGCAACCCCCCATTTCTCACTCCTGCACCCCCAACTCCCCCTCCTATCCCCTATCCACCTCTCCCTACTCTCCCCCTCTCCATCACTCTCCCCCACCCCTCTCAACACACCTCTGCCCCGAAATGGACCTGGACATCTCAGATTCATCCCAAGAAGACCCCCCAACACCAGCCGACCATAACTCCACACAACCTTCAGAAATAACCCCAGCCTGCCTCCCCCAACCCCCCACGGAAGAATCAAGAACCCCCATCATCGCTCCATCTTGCTCCCCTTCCACAACTTCAACCATAACATCCTCAGGACAGAACTTTTTCAGACCCACTTACCATATTGCACGCCCCAGCCGGAAGATCCAGGACTGGTTTTTCAGGCCTCGAAAACCAGTCCTGGTTCTTGGAGATTCTAACGTAAATCGCATCCCACCCCATAACCACCCACAAGTACAATTGGACAGCTACCCTGGAGCCAACACCTACCATTTCCTTAAGGTATGTGAGAAATCCATTCCCAACCCTGATGTCAAGATAGTGGTCTTTTCCATCGGGATCAACAACAGGGACCAGGACCCCAGGCAGACCACCACCAAACAGTTCAAGACCCTCTTCCGCCAGGCAAGGTTGACCTTCCCCAACGCCGACATCTACTACCCGATCATGAACTTCTCATCCCAACTCACCCCCACCCAGAAAGGTAATCTCAAACTCATCAACAACATCATGACCACCCACGCTCCATTTCTAACAGAAATTCCACACGACACCTTCACTACAGAAAAAGATAATATCCACTGGACACCCACCACAGCCAAACTGATTTTTGAAAACTGGATGCAACAGCTAAATTTACAATAACCTATAAGGCCAACCCAGACACTCACACACACACACAGGACCTGGGGTGGAACTCTCCTTCCAACATCCTTAACCTCTCTACCCTTTTTTCCCCCTCCCCCTCACAACTATCCCTTCTGGAGAGAGGGCTCTCTTTCATTCCACGCCCCAACAAATTCGACCGGGAGGAACTTCAGAGGGACCTTCACAAATTTCATAGAAGACTTAAAATCATTGACTACTTTCATTTCCAACCTGACAGACAACCATTACCCTTCATCCATCCATCTCACTGGGAACCTAACCTCGACATCCTCCACCCCCTGACCCGCCAACTCATAAACAAAAACAAAAGGGCCCTTCAGCGTTTCCGGCCACCGGCAGATGTCCCAGACAATCTGTCGGGGCCGGAACGCAGGGCCCTGACTGACCTAATCCACAATCCAAACATCATAATAAAACCAGCAGACAAAGGATCTAAAGTAATCATCATGGACAGACAACAGTATCTCATAGAAGCAAACAGACAGCTAACAGACACCACCTACTACAGACCTCTCAACGAGACAGTCCAGCCACAAACCCAGACCAAACTCAGGAACATCATTCAGACTCTTTACCAGAAAAAATACATCAAATCAAAACAGAAAGACTATCTATTTGGACCGGACAACCCACGACCCCGTTACTTTTACTTACTACCTAAAATCCACAAAGACCCACAAACCTGGACTATTCCCTCTGAGGTTCCTCCCGGCAGACCCATAGTCTCTGATTGCAATAGCTCCACATATCATATCTCCCAGTATATTGAGCAGTTTTTAGGTCCCCTTTCCACCCGCCACCCCAGCTACATTAAGGACACTTACCACTTCATCGACACCATAAGACCCATGGCTGTCCCTCCTCAATCACTCCTCTTCACCATTGACATCAATAACCTTTACACCAATATCAATACACACCTAGGTCTACAAACACTTCGCACCATTTTTAACAGAAACCCAGACTCCTCTCGCCCTGACACAGAACTCATCCAACTAATAGAACTCTGTCTGAACAACAATGACTTTCTTTTCAATAACCAATTCTACTTACAGGTCCACGGGACAGCCATGGGTCAGAGATTCGCACCTGCCTATGCAAACCTTTACATGAGCGAGTGGGAGCGAGAAGCCTTAGCTAAATGCCCCCTACAACCATCCCTCTACCTCAGGTTTTTAGATGACATCTTCGGTATCTGGCCCCATGAACAGTCCAAATTTCCAGAATTCATCTCCATTCTCAATAGCCACCATCCTTCTATCACCGTAAAGTACACAATAAATACATCACATATCAATTTCCTAGACACTACAGTTTTTTTCGGGCCCGCCAACACTACCTACAAAACACTGCAGACTAAAGTTTACTTCAAACCCACGGACACTCATTCATTACTCCATAAATCCAGTTACCACCCAAAACATACTTTTAAAGGAATTATAAAGTCACAAATCATCCGTTTTTATCGTATTTGCAGCAACATCCAGGATTTCCAAACAGCCACCAGTACCCTTTTTAGCAGCCTACGCCCTAGAGGCTATTCCAAACGCTTCCTCCGTTCCATTAAAAACTCCACACTGGCCTCTCTCGCTTCCACTCGCTCTCCTTCCCTCTCTCCAGCCCCCCACCCTTCCCTTTCACCCCAGGTCGGTGAGCTTGGGCCGTCGGTGAGTCCTCTCCCCTACCCGAATCAGGGTCTGTATCCCGTTCCCTACCCGTCACACCACCTCCACCCTTCCTCCACTCCTGATCCCAATCCCTTCCCCCACCCTAAACCTAACCCACACCCCACCCTATACCCTAACCCCAATCTCAACCCATCCCCACCTCCTCACCCTAACCCACCCCTGTCCCCCCGCCCTAACCCCAACCTAACCTCTACCCCTTGCCCTAATCCTAACCTACCCCCTACCCCTCACCCCCTCCCTATCCCCTATCCGAACCAGGATCTGTATCCTCCCCCCTACCCCAACCCCAAGGACAGGCACGGCCCAAGCTCACCCTACACACACATTTCACCTACACACCACAACTCTCCTCCACCCTCACGTCTGATACCATTTGTCTCAACCTTCTCTCACCAAATCACCCACTTACACCGCATCATCAAACAAAACTTCTCCATACCACAGTCCCAACACCCAGCTTTTCAGAACCATAAGATCATCTCAGCCTACAGGAAACATAAGAGCCTCCAATCCATTCTCATCAGATCCCAATTCACTGACCATAGACCCACAACCCCTCTTCCATACAGCCACCACTACAAGAACAGGAAATTTATCCACAATCCACATAGTAATACAGCATTTCCAACTCTGGGCTCCTTCTCCATCACCACCACAAATATAGTATACATCATTACATGCACACTCTGCAATAAACATTATATAGGCGAATCAAAACACTCCACCCACACCCGTTTAGCACAACACCTCTACAACATTGGGGAAGGTCAACTTCCTACCCCCCTTGTACAACATTTCCAGCTTCATCCCCCCACCCACCTCATTATCACCGTTCTGGAAAACAACGACCGCTGGACCTGTGGGCAGAGGAAGAGAGCGGAGAAAATTTGGATCCACAGGCTCGGGACCACTGTGCCCGGAGGTTTAAACGATAATTGAAAAAAGGAAAACCACATCCACCACCTCCGGGTATGGTACTCCCGAGCCTGTTCCTGCACTTTTCTTGGGCCATGCGGATCCCATACCAACACAGCTGGTAAGATAACAGAATGGTTAAAGCCCTGGTCTGCCACACGGCAGACTGGGGTTCGAATCCAGGCTAGGACGGGAGATGCACATTTTATTTTATTAACAATTTTTAACACTTAATGTTTGGAATTTTAGCAATAGGAGCAGGAAACCCCCCCCTCCCCCATATATTTCTTTACTAATGATTTACTATTTTATGCATGCCTTATTTTTTACTAATATTTATTGTAAGGACTTGTGTTTTTACTCCTATAGCACTTGTATTTCTAGCACTTACCCCTCCTGCCCCTATTTCTTAATTCTTTTATGACTAATCTTTTATAAATCTTATCTTTTCACCTACACCTTAGATCTTTTAGTTCCACTACTGACTATTTATATACTCATTTTAATTAATACAAATATTTATGTTTATAATAAAAATTTTTTTTTTTTTTTTTTTTTTTTTTTTTTTT